CAGGTCCCATTTAAGCAAATCTGCTTCCTTGGTGTGGGCTCTATGCTCTCCCCTGGAAACCGTTTTACTTCAGACTCCAGCCTCCTAAATAAATCAGCCTCTTGCCTCATCAGTGCTAAACCCCACACTATTCTTTCACTCTCCAAACCTGATACACAGGAGCTTTGGGAATTATTGGCCATATATTTCTGAAGGAAATGGTGAGTCCAAAAAAGCATAAGGGTACTTAAGTTATGATCAAAAAAGGAAAACTGCAGTGACCCAGAGGCAGTAGATCCAAGTACCTGTGTGATCCTGAAAGCAGGGGCCACAATGGAAATGATTTTGTATGCCAGATAAAGGAAAGCTTAAGCAGTAATTATAAGTAATTAAATTAGATTTGTAATTTAAAATATCCCTTTGGAAATACAGTCTGCTCAAGAAATTTCTTTTCCCAAGGTTGGGCATTTAGAAAAATGCCAGCATTCCCTCAGGGTCTTAAAGAAATTTCCTGGTTATTGAAAGGGGAGTCATTCTCCTTATCTCTGATAAAAGAGACAGTGGGTCTCCCATTAACATATGACTGTGGTGCTGGCCAACTTGTCAAGGTCAATGCTAGTCTCCCAGCTCCCTCAGTCCCTGCTCACACAGCTCCTCCCCAGCTCACATGCTCCCTTTCTCCTGTTGTCATGTAACCCCTGGAAGATGTTTCCTTGTTACTTCTCTCTGCTTTCCTGGGAGACAGCCTTGGCAGTTGAGAATAAATGTTTCCCTTTTCAACCATAGAGTGGCTATTTTGGCTTCTTTACTGCACCCATTTTTTGTTCTTTATGCTGAGTGTTAGAACACTTCACTAGAGGGACCTTGGTGGAAGCCCCACAGCAGGTGAGGGACACACACACCATGCAGACTCAGACAGAGCTTATGTGGGAGGGTTTATTGGCAGAAGGAAGGGGAGAGAGGAGGAGGATGGACTGGGAGAGGAAGAGGAAGGAGGAGTTGGCAGAGTTCTGTCTCTTAAAGGGACTACGCCATGAGTGCAGGGGTGATGAACTCTGCCAGGTCTTCAAGGGGCAAGAGCAGGTGTGCCTGGATGCTAATAGAAGGAACCCCAACTGAGAAAAAGCATCATCAGATGGCTTGTAGGCAAGTCTTTGGAGGCATTTTCTTGACTAATGATTGATATGGAAGGGAGGGTGGCCTGCAGGAAGGTGGTCATGCTGATTTATAAAGGCAGCCTGAGAAAGCCAGTAAGAAGTGTTCTCCACTGTCTCTGCCTCAGTCCCTGTCTCTGGGCTCCAGGTTCCTGCCTTGAGCTCCTGCCCTGAATGCATGATGATGATCTGTAAGCAAAATAAACCCCTTCATTTCATAATTGCTTGTGTCAAAAATCAGGAGCAAATACTGAAATATTTCAAGGTAAAAATTTATTTTATGGCCAGGCCAGACTTGCAGTCTCCTTAAAAGTATGACACTGATGAGGTCCTGAATAAAAGCAGGGGAACCTTTTAATAGTTAAGCTCAAGTCTGAGATACACAGAAAGTGATTATAAAAGTGGATTTAAAAGAAAATCAGCTATCAGCCAATTCTCAGAACATATAATGGAACATTTTATGGTCAGGCAGTTCTCAGAACATATCATAAAACAATGGAATCAATTTTTCTTTCTTTCTTTTTTTTAAAATTTAAGTTAGAAACTAGCTTGTTTCACATGTCAATCCTAGCTCCCTCTCCCTCTCCTCCTCCTCCGCCCTCCCCACCATGCCCCTTAGTCCCCCACCCAATCTCCACTCTGATCCCCAGGAAGAGTAAGGCCCTCCATGGAGGACCTCCAGAGTTTGTCATTTTATCCAGGGCAGGGCCTAGGTCCTCCCCCATGAGTCCAGGCTGAGAGAGCATTCCTCATTGTGGGATGGGCAACCAATATCCATTTGTATGCCAGGGATAAACACTACCCAAGGCTCCATAGATTGCCTAGGCCTCTTCACTGACTCCCACTTTCAGGGCATCTGGATCAGTCTTATGCTGTCCACCAGCCATCAGTTTGGGGTCCAAGAGCTTCCCTTTGTTCAGGTCAATTATTTCTGTGGGTTAAACCAGCCCAGTCTTAATCCCTTTGCTCATAACTCCTGGAATCCAGAACTTTCTGTCACTGGATTCCAGGAGTTCAGTTCAGTGTTTAGCTGTGGGTATCTGCCTCTGCTTCCATCAGTCACTGGATGAAGGTTCTGTTTCCTAGTCTCTCTAGCTGTGGGATTGTATGCTGGCACTCCTCTGATCATGTCTAAAATCCATATATGAATGAGTACATACCGTAATGTTTCTCTTTTTGTGACTGGGTTACCTGACTCAGGATTGTTTCATCTAGTACCATCCATTTGCTTGTAAATTTCAAGATTCCATTGTTTTTTTTTCCGCTGAATAGTACTCCATTGTGTAAAAGTACCACATTTTCTCTATCCACTCTTCAGCTGAGGGCATATAGGTTGCTTCCAGGTTCTGGCTATTACAAATAATGCTGCTATGAACATAGTGGAACAGACATCCTTGTTGTATGAATGTTCATCTTTTGGATATATGCCTAATGGTGGGATTGCTGGGTCTTGTGGTAGACTGAATTTATAATGTATAGATGGTAAGTATATTGGCAAAGAACATTAAAAAAACAAGTTGACATGTTTCAGCATATTTGATCACACTGTGAAACCTGAGACTGTTAGGAAAATCACCATTGGTCATGGGCGGAGCCAGCAACTAGTTGACAGGAATTAGGCATAGAGAGGGAGGGCCAGGAAGAAAACAGGGATGCACAGGAAGGAGTAGGGAGTGATTTAGAGTTTCATGGTCTTTTATAGGTTTTGGGTGGCTGGAGACACTCTCTTGCTGGGTCTCCAACCAGGAAAGGAAGCTAGTTGTTTCTTGGCCTCTCTGATATAGCAGGTTTTCATCGCAACATCTGACTCTTGAATCTTTATTGGTAAATAGAATTATAGAGACTTATTTAAAAACTGCATTTGGTGACAGTGGCAGAGCTGGTTCCAGTGGGACTGTAAGTCCTGAGAGGCTGCGACCTAAGCATGAGGCACTGTCAACAGGACCTGGGTGCCCAGATGGTAGCTAAAATATCAGTAGATTCATGTGTAGTCATTAGCAGGTGGAAAAACAACATCTTTTTGGCCCAAAGGAAAAGGAACAAAAAAAAAATGGAGTCAGCTGGCCCTTACCATTCCCTGCTGTGGAATAGTAGTTTAGGATGTGTTACCTTTGTTTCTGCTGTGGAACATTTGTCTTAACGATGAAAATATGTGTGACATTTGTTTACCTCTGTGAAGCTATGTTACTTTGCCTGCCTAAAATACCTTACTGGTCTAATAAAGAGCTGAATGGGCAATAGGTAGGCAAGAGAAAGGATAGGCAGGACTGCAAAGCAGAGAGAATAAATATGAGGAAAGATCTAGGCTCAGAGAAGAGAAGAGCTAGGAGCAAGAAAAGAAGAAGGAGAGAAGGGCACCAGAGACCAGCTACTTAGCCGCAGAGTCAGTCACAGAGTAAGAAGGAAATATACATAGAATAAAGAAAGGTAAAAAGCCCAGAGGTAAAACATGGTTAAAGAGAAACAGGTTAAGAAAAACTGACTAGAAACAAGACAAGCTAAGGCCGGGCATTCATAAGTAAGAATAGATTTCCAAGTGTTTATTTGGGAGCTGGGTGATGGGCCCCCAAATAGGAAAATCCTGAAGCAACTACAGTTCCACACTCATGATAGGGAGACCTCTATGTCGTTACAGATCACCATCTTTAAGGGGAATTTGCCTCAAGTGTTCACAGTAGCTCCTCAGATCAATAGTTTAATAGCATTGAGTCCTTGATTTACAGATTTTAAAATCACATTCCAAAGACTTGGCGCAAAAGTGAGAGTGAGCAAAGTAAATAATAAAGGGCCTGCCAAGGTGCTAAGTAATTAACCATGGGGACAAGGAAAATAGGGACCCACAGCAATTTTGATTTTTTGAACATTAACTGTTTTCTTTCCTTAATTCTTTAACTAGACTCAAAATTTCTCTGATTTCCTGAGTGATTGGCACAAAAAACACCATTGTTCTCTGAGAGCCAAGCAGATTTCCCCATTGTTGCATGAGGAGGCAGGCAAGTTCCCTTCCATTCTGTAATATGACTTCTGCCAGGGAGTCCAGAGAGAAAAGTCGGGTAACTGATGAATGTTTCCAGCTCAGATAAATCCTGCCAAGTCTGTTGACTCAGGAGCCAAAAGTTTTGATCACTAGTGACAAGTGCAGCAGTTCCCGTCCTACCAATCCTGATATCCCCAAGCTTACTACCATGGGTACCAACATCTGGGCTGCTCTGGGTAAGCATGACTGGTGCAAAAGACCTAAATGTTCTCAACATCCTTCTCCTGAATAGTAATACACTTGAAGAATCAGATAAACTGTTAGTAAATCTGGGCCCAAATTCCTGGTATGCCAATTGGCATTAGAGGTAGCCATCTTGTCCCCCATAACAGGGAGTTTCCTTTTGACTTAGCATTTCAGGGAGTTTCCTTTTGACTTGGCATTTCAGCCTGTTAGGGGATAAAGGAATTTGTGTTTTCTTGTGGAACTACTTCCAGCTGAAACTAGGGAGTCATTGTCAGGGTCCAGGAAAGCTGAAATGCTGCTCAAAGGCTTAGAGGGGATTCAGACAATGGGGTATCCATCAGAAGTATCTGGTTAGCTGACCCAGATGAAGAGACAAGGTTGGAGTGGTTTACATCAATGTTCAGTAATTCTAGAGCCCAACAGTTTGTAGTCCACAGGTGATTCCTGATTGATGTCTGTCACCCAATCTGCTGAGACAGAAATATACTAGGGACAGAAATTAAAGTTTAGGGAACTTAAAGGAAAATCTTATATTAGGAACTCTCAGGTCCATAATCCTAGTAACTGGGAAAGGAGGTGGAGGTGTCTCAAGACCTAGGAAGTGACACCCCATCATCAGGTGGGGAAATTCAAACTGCACTTACCTGGACTCCATTTGAACCATGGCAGATGGATCCAAGTCTTATGATTCCTTGGATTACCTGAAATTTACATGGATTTTTTGGGTCAAAAAAGGAAATATAAGTTCTAGATATGTTAGCATTAATCTGTACTAAAATCCACATTGTAAAACAGCTAGAACAGACTCATGACTTTGAGTCTTACCAAAAACTATAGTTTTTAGTTAAAAAGCATGACAATTGCCAGACAGTGGTAGCATACAACTTTAATCATACATAGGACTTGGTAAGAGGAGACAGGCAAATCTCTGAGTATGGGATCAGTCTGGTCCACAGAAGAATGAGTTCTAGGACATCCAGTGCTACACAGAAAAAATCTCTCTCTCTCTCTCTCTCTCTCTCTCTCTCTCTCTCTCTCTCTGTCTCTCTCTCTCTCTCTCTCTCTCTCTTAAAACCCAACATAATAAAACAAAAAGCAGGCATATTTTCCCTCTGTTTGGAGAGTGGGATATATGTTCCTAGTCTAATAATAAGAATCTTCAAGTCTATGTTTAGAAGACAACCAAAGGAAATTTAAAAGCTTGAGCTTGTGACTGAATAGTAAGCAGTCAGTGCTCTATCAGCTTATCAGAACTCCATTGATTAATGTTAAAACTCCGGACCTTTGAAATCTTAGTATAACAATAGCATAATAAACATTTCCCATTTTATGTATTTTAAATCATTTTCTTATAACATTAGAACTTACTCATGTTTTCATATCTTCAGACATTTATATATCTAAGAACATTTTTGCCATCTAATCAAAGACATGTGTAGTTATTGCTGAGAACAATCATTGCAAGACATGTTTCAGTGAAAAGTTACACCTGAAACCGTTAATTCTTTACTATGAAGCCTGTTAGCAAGGCAACCCTGGCAACCCCGTCTGACTTTTCTTATCAGGAGACCTAATAGCTTTAGATGAACTAAGAAAGTGGCTGCAGTCTCGGAGAAAGGAGCAGGTTGTCTGCTGCTGCCAAATGTGCAAAGCTACCATTATCCTGGTCATCAATTCCATCAGCGATCTGAGAAGGATAAATCATAGCAGGAAGTATAACCTAAAGGGCCTATGTATTAATCAAAATGACAGAGTCTAGTCTGTTATCTAGTCATCCCAGGTTCTTTGGGTCTCCATGGCATTAAGGGCACAGGTGCCAGGACAGCATGAGTTTTCAACTTCCAGACCAGAAGACAAGAGGCTTTCAGTGGAGGAGGAACATGGTGGTGGTGTTGGGGACTGACTTTGCTTTGCCTAGGCAGAGTGGAGCAATCAACTTTCCAGTGCCCTGCTTGTCCACAGTTAAGGCCAGATCCTGGAGGCAGCTGAGGCATTGGGGCTGTCTCGATGAGTGGTTAGCATTATCAAAACCCAGGTGGAGTCATCATAGTGCCCTATTTCTTCTTGGAGATCTGAGGGAATCACTGCTAGGAGCAGGGGTCTCTGTCATAGTAAGCTTAAACATCTTGAAAATGTCATAATCAAAAGGTCTCTGACAAGTTTGAGAACCGTTATCTATTAAGTAAATCTGAGGTTAATTTTTAGTTACTTGCTTTAGGCTACACCTTGATAGCACAAAAATTAGGGTAAATAAAGCTTCCTCCTATAATTAATTACATCAGTGCTTAGCTGACTATATATACAGTTATGAGCATATTAAAGAACTGGATCTTTTATGAGGTCACTGACCATTAACTTGCATCTCTTAATTATCTTTAATAGTTTACAACATGTTAGTAGCTTAATCATTGTTAGGTTTAGCCTTAGAAAATAACAATTTCTGAAATGAAGTTTTTTAATATAAAAATAAACCTTTAAGTCATAAATACAGTTCACAGAGAGACTGGGAAGTTTCTGGATCCCTTATAGTGTACCATTACATAATATAACAGGTTCTTACATGACTTGGTTTACCAAAATAGCTACAGCTTTACAGTGTTTCAAAAACAAGGGGGTTCCACACCCGTTCTTAAATCAGGCTCCATTAGCGTGAGGAGAGATTAGGTGAAGAGAAACCCTGTGCCAGAGCATTGGGATCATTGTCTCTCTACATCATAAGACAGGAATACATCAGTCTCGGGTGTTTAATGTTTGGTACTAATAGCAGTGGCCCAAATTTTTAGCCTCTCATTTATCTATCGAGATCATACATTTGTAGGCAGATTTGTCTTTGGGCTGCCAGCTGACAATGACATGGAGAGACTTATTAATTATGAAAGCTCGGCCTTAACTTAGGCTTGTCCCACTAGCTCTTTTTTTTTTTTTTCAAGATAGGGTTTCTCTGTATTGCTTTGAAGTCCGACCTGGCACTCACTCTGTAGACAAGCCTGGCCTCAGACTCACAGAGATCCGCCTGCTTCTGCCTCCTGAGTGCTGGGATTAAAGGCGTGCACCACCAACACCTGGCCCCACTAGCTCTTATAACCTGAATGAACCCATATTTTTATTAACCGATATTCTACTATGTGGCTTTTACCTCTGTCCCATTCTGTGTGTCTGACTTGTTACATGAGTCTTTCTGACAAAATTCACATGCCTAGATTCCTCCTTTGCTTCCTCTGTCTGCCTGGAAATCCCACCTAGCTCTCCTGCCTAGCTATTGGACATCCAGCTTTATATTATACCAATCATGGCAATGCATCTTCACAGTGTATGAATATACCACAGCATATATAATAAAGACATTATAATAAAATGCCTTATAAAATTTAAATGTCTCATGGTCTTATAAACTTTTAAAAGCTGTTCCTTAAAATATCCAGTTTTTTATTTAAATTTTCTGTAAAACTTCAGTATTTCCTTTAAAGATGTTTAAAATCTCTCAACTGTGTGTTCCTTCAATATCAAAATAAATTACTATTTTTTATTTCAAGAGTGAAGACACAGGGCACAGCCTTAATCTGCACATGGTAAAACTAAGCTCCAATAGTACAAACAAATCAGTGTCTCTAAAACCAATACCATCTGGATGACTTATGTTACAAAGTTTATTGCCAGCAAGGTAAGCTCTTGTAAATGAAAACATGGAATGGAGGTGCAGTTTTAGTACATCATTAAACAAATAAAAATTCTATCTTTGATAAACCTTGTTTTCAAGGCAGGAAAGAAATTATCATACAAAGATCTATCCCAATCCAAAGTGTCTTGGAGTCCTGTTGTGTCCTTGATTATCCCATAACCTGTGGCTGCCCTTAATCAAGGTGGTGGTGAAGTCACATGACTGCCTAAAGATGGTGGCAGGCAATGTGTTGCTTATAAATACCATATGGTTCCTTTAAGATTACCTGTGAACAGACTTTTAACTATTAACTCTATGTTACAAGTTTTAAGTTAACTATTTGTTACAGATATTACAGATTTTTTTTTTACCATATCCAACAAACCTCCAATCCAATAATCCCTTTAGCTGGTCTGCTTTGTTCTTTTATTCCTGTCATAGCTCTTGATCTTGGACATTAACTTTAAAGGCATGCCTGGGTCTGAGAAAGGGAGAGTCATAACCCAATCCCAGAGTCAGTTTTTCAATAAAGCAGACCAGACAGCAAAAAGCAACTACAGTATTACACATGCCCAGATGATGTTTGAATTCATACTGCATTAGATCCAGTGCTCAGAAAGCGCGGAGGCAAATTCTGAGTCCTGGGCCATCACTGGATGCAACAGTAACAGCTGAGCTATAACCAGGGAACACAGAGCACAGTAAGCTCACCCATTCAAGGGAGACTAGTCAGAAACAAACATGCAGTGGTCACATTCACTCATTTCAAACAGACAGACACAACTTTATTACCTCCTCCAGTGCTCTAATCTCAACGGAGTGCTGCCCTGGTAGCCGCCACAGTCAGTGGTTACAGGGCACGGTCCTTGAGCTGAAGCTCCAGCCACAGGTGCACTCCGGTGCTGCAGCTGTATTGGCCACATCTGGGTGCTGCAGGGGGCCTGCCCACAGGCTTCCCCATGGGACTGGAAGCTTTTCTTCAAGCTGCCCATTGAGCTACAGGCCTGGCCCAGGGCATTGCTCTCTGCAACATACCTTATGCCATCAAGGCCCCTGTTCCCAAAGCTCCACTGTTTCTGGAATGACCTTTGGAACAGTGTACCAGTCCTGGTGTTCATCCATTCAGTCTCCCCAAATCAGAACATATAATAGCAGGTACAGGCACAAGGCAAGAAATGGAGGCAAAAATGACAAAAGAAAACATGAGATAATGACATTTAATGATTAGAGTCCTCTTGCTTTGGAGGTCTACCAGATTGGCCAGAAAATTTAACAGATGGGGATATTTCAGTTGTCTCCTTGCACAACCCCTGGTCTGCCTGACATCTCTGCCCTGAGCTTCTCCAAACTCTAGGTTTGGTCCCAGTGTCCTAGAGTATCCTTGTCTTTGTTGTGCAGTCCAGGGATTGGAACCCTGCTGATGAATACTCATGTGCTGGTCCTCCCTGATATTTTCAAGCATATTGGATGCTCTCAGGGCAAGTCAGATTAAAAAAAACAATTTGTGACTCTGAATAAACACTAGTTAAGACAATTCAAGCCCAAATTCCCCAAAACCAAATGAATATTAGACTGTGTCCAGATAGTCTCAGGAGATGACTCCATCACAGACCACCTGGGAGGAATATTGCTGCATCAAGCTTCCCACCTAAACCCTTGCTGCTGGCCTAGAACAGACGATGCAGACAAGACGTGGACAAGACCCAGAGAAGACACAGATGTGCTCTTACCTTGCAACATGGTGGAGATCAAGGACCATAACAAGAAAGAAGAGTTGGGCCAAGAAAATGTCTTTCAGCAGCCATAGGACCTCCAAGTGCTATGGTGTCGAAAATCAGGTACAAACCATGAGATGCTGCAAGGAAAACAATTATGGCTGGGTCAAACTTGCAGTCTCTTCGCAAGTAGGAGACAGAAGTGTCCCTGACTAAAAGCAGGGAAGCCTTTTTATAGTCAAGCTCAAGCCTGAGGTACATGGCAAGTGATTATAAAAGTGGATTGTTCTGCAGTTCAGTAATTTAGTTAGCTATCAGCCAGTTCTCAGAGCATACCATGAAGCAATGAAAACAATTTACAATGTGTAAATCACAAGATTATAGAGGAAGAACAACTCAAAAGAACAAGTTGGCCTTTAGCTTAGGACATGAGTAGAGAAAAACACCACAGGGAACAATATAGAAATGAATCAAATTCTAACATTATGTTTAACTAGGAAAATGAAGAAAAACTGGAGTCAGCTGGCCTTTAACAACACGTTTCAGTTGAGGTTTATTTAAAAACCTAGTGAGCCTTGCTCAAATGCCAGAGATCCCAACTCTATATCCATCCTTCCCCTAAATTACCAAATTACCAAACTGACTGGTCCTGATAGATTAACTCTTCTTTGTAGTAGTAGTCTGTCAGCAACTCACAGGCACAAATGAGAAGAGGAAAGCATTTCAGTTGCTGAGTGAAGGCAGAGGCTTGGGTTAAGGAATAGGCAAGCAACTGCTTCGTCTTCACATTTAGTTCTTTATTAACTGCTCGGCTGGCTTCCCAAAGCAGGGTGGTGGCCCTTGTGACTTCTAAAGTCCCTGTTATGTCACATCCAATTCTGATTTACTATATTGAAGCTACAATATGACATTGTTTACATTCAATTAAGTTGTATGACAACAAAATAGCCTAAAATCCATGGGTAAGGGACATGGCTCAGATGGTGAAGATACTTGCCCCTAAGACTGACCTGGGTTTCATTCCTGGAACTCACATATAGGAGGGAGAGAACAGACTCTTGCAAGTTCACTTGAACATGCCCCCCACATTCATATTATATTACTATAATCATACTAATACTATTGATATGCTCAAAATGTTTTTATGATCAATCTTTAGTGGTGGGAAGACTCTCTTTAGAGTAAATTCTTCTTAAATTGATCTGGATAATTTAATCCAATCAAAATAAGTTTTATACCATTCTTAACAACAAGAGATACCAAAAATGTCGCTTCTATACTAAAGATGAGAAAAGCCAGGCAATCTATAAGATCATTACCTTTATTAGATCCATCTGGAGATGAACTCACACGACAACTAAGAAAACAGAATTTTAAAAAGTAGCAGATCAGTGGGCAAGGGGAAGAGCTGACGCAGGCCTTTTCAACTCTTGTAGAAGGAGGGAAGAATAAATGACTCTCACTGAACAACAACAGAAGTCAGGTAAAATTCTAAAAAAATGCTTCCAAAGGCTAAGGCCTAGCCAGTATTTAGAAAAGTGAGAGTCCCCCAAACATTGATTTTTCTTCATTCAGACACTCTAACAGATGGTCACAGAAATATTAGGTTATTAGTCACAAAGAACAGAATTCCACCATTTGAAAATGCTGAGGGAATGTGTGGAAATGGAGGTCATTATATTAAGCAAAATGAGTGAAACTTGGAAAGATAAATATCTTTCATATGTGAAATACAGGTTTTAAAAAATAAAGACATGAAAGTAGAAGAGTCATATTTGCATAGAGGATACCCAGCAGAGAAGGAGCAAGTGAGGACATTGAATTTCATCAAAGTACATTATATGCAGTTGAGAAAACAACAAAACCCATTATTTTATAAAAAACAATGTATATTCATTCAATTAAAAATATATCTACAAGAAAAAGACAAGGAAGAAAAGAAGGGAAATAATTTAGTTTTTAACTTTAAACTGTATTTGATAACTTTGTCTGTAATCTCATCTTCTCAAACAGACTGTAAATTTCTTGTAAATGTCATGAACTTGGTTGAGTACATATTTTCAGTGTTTCCCACTAGCATAGTAAGTAAATGTTTGAGAAACAACTAGTTAGTAATTTTATAAGTCAAAATTGCAGAAATCTGTTACGTATGTGAAAGATTAATGGAATGCCCTGTGAGATTTTTCTATTGTTCTTAATCTGAGAAATGATTTCCTAGCCTTCTCTATATATGATACTTTTGCCTGAGAAAGTTTTACTCAACCCTAGGTATATTGGCATGATGGTTTGAATTAGAAATGTCCCCAATAGGCTCTCACATTTGTTTACTTGTACTCTAGTTAGTGGCACTGGTTAGAGAGATTGGGGAACCATTAGGAGATCACACCTTGCTGGAGGAAGTCTGTTTCACTGGGTAGGTTTTGGAGTTTGGAGTCTGGACCCACTTTAGTTTGGAATTGACTTTGTGTTTGTCACTGACGATGACCTTTCAGCTTCCTGTTCCAGCCATTGCTGCCATGCACACCCTGCATTTGTGACCTCTCCATTTAGACCTATAAGCCAAAATGGAATTATTCTACTACAAGTTGCCTTTGTCATGGTGTTTTAATCAAGAAACAGATGTTGGTACCTGAGCATGCGATGTTTTTGGGAAGAACCTGACCATGTTGGTTTTTGGAGGAATGTACAAGACTTGGAAACTCTGGACCAGAAAATCAGTGGAATGTGGAGTTGAAATGGACATTCTTTTAGGAGCCCTAAGGACTATAGTGTCCTGGCTCAAGAGGTTTTTAGACAGGAGAAAGGAATTTGATAGGGATGATCTAGATGCCATTCCTGTGATATTTTGGCACAGTCTCTAGATGCCATCTGCCTCTACCTAAGAACTTGCTTGAGGCTAAATTGGAAAGTTGTGGGCTAATTTCTTGGGCAGATGAAATTTTTGAGGACATATAACATTGAATCTGCGGTGTAATTGTTATTAGCAATGCTTATTCTGGTTTATAATGATAAAGGGGCAAATGAAACAGAAATAAATACAAACGTATGGTTTCAAAAGTAAAAGAGCTCTGGGAAGAAGCTTACACTATATCTAAGACATGTGCTTAAAGAGAGACTGTAATAGTGGAGGAAAGGCCTCCTGTGGAGCATTAGGAAAGTTAAATGTACCCTAGGGCAAGACCCTACCTAGTTAAGCCTCCAACTTGTGAAAGGAAAAGGTTTAAGGAATTTCTGATCCTAGAACACAACAACATAAAACCTGCTGCTAACACAGTTAAAGGGGGCCAGTGTTCATCCCGAGTTGTTAGCCAAAAGCAGTGTCATCCATGTAATACTGGCCTTGAAGAACAGGTGGCAGATCCACCTTCCAGATGAACTGCTCCACTCTTTAGGTTAGGTCCCCAGAGGCCTATTCCCCAACTCACTGTCTGCCCCACTGCTGGACATCTTGTCCCCAACCCCAGTGAAATTGGCTTCCCAGATGCAGGCCACATCAGTCCGAAGAGCAGATGCAGACCACACCAGTTTGAAGAATAGACTCCCTGTTTGCGCCAAAGGACATGCTAGCCACAGAGTACAGTCCACAAAGATCAGAAGGCCAAAGAGAAAACAGAAACCGAGGAACAAAAAACCCACCCAACAAAGACACACACCTAGCAGTGGTGTTCACAATTTTAGTCTTCCTAAGACACAGTAAATCAGTTTATCAATCTGTATTCTCATGGACTCTTTATATAGGTTTCAGTTCCTTATTCCTTACAGGATTCATTTCCATTTGGAGGTGATCTTGCCTTCTTTTCTGATGGCTAATGAGCTTGATCACCTTCCTTCTGATGGCTGGCTATATATTTGCATTCTTGTCCATGTCTTTTGCTTATCCCCAGCCCCTGAATTTTATCATGCATTGTGGTTGATTTCTGGAGGTTTTCTATGTCATATAGTTTTAAGTATTTACTGAATACCTGTATCCCAAATATTTCTCTGTCTTTGTGGATTGCGTTTTGACTTGCTTTATGATGTTTTTAAAACCCATGGTTGGTTGCTCTCACACAATTTGGTCCACTGTTGTTTCTGTGAGCATATTACATTAGCTTCCAGGACTTGTATCTGGGATGATTACTTTTCTCCTCCAATAAGGTACACACCACCTTCAGGCATATGAAAGCTAGACAACAGGAATGAAGTTTCCAGGTCAATATCAATTTGATTTCTCCATGTTCTATAACTTAAGTATGTTGTGTCTTCAGTAATAGGGCTTTACCAACAAGTTTTGGAGGGCATCCAATAGCAAAGGCAATATGCTGTAATTTAAGAGTCAATCAGACCTCACTGTTCAGAAAATCCAATCGAGGAAACATTTCTTGGCATTGAAACTTTTAGTTGTTATCCTATGGTATCTATTAGGGTATTATTG